CCCCCATCTCTAAATAAAGTATAAAAAAAGGGCTGGGGATGTGGCTCAGTGGTTAAGAACTCCTGGGTTCAATCCCTAGTACCACCCCCCCCCCGAAAAAAACTGAACACCGAAAAACAAACAAACAAACAAATAACTACACTGATATTTCATCTCACATGAGCCAGAATGGCAGCCATCAAGAATATAAACAATAATAAACACTGAGGGTGGGGTTGTGGCTCAAGGGTGGAGTGCTTGCCTAGCACGTGTGAGGCCCTGGGTTCAATCCTCAACACTGTGTATTAATATACAAAATAAAGGTTCGCCTACAACTAAAAAACATATTTATTAAAATAATAATAAATGCTGGAGAGGATGTGGAGAAAAAGAACCACTTTTATACTGTTGGTGGGACCATAAATTAGTACAACCACTGTGGAAATTAGTATGGAGGTTACTCAAAAGACGAGGAATGGAACCACCACATGACCCAAATATATCTTGCCTCAGTATTTATCCTAAAGAATTAAAGTCACTATAGTGACACATGCACACCCATGTCTATACCAACACAATTCACAATAGCCAAACTACAGAACCAACCTAGGTGTCTATCAAGCGATGAGCGGATAAAGAAAAATGTGATACACACACACACACACACACACACACACACACACACACACACACGAGTTCTATTCAGCCATAAAGAAAAGTGAAACTATGGCATTTGAAGGAATATGAATGGAACTTGAGGACACTGTTAAGTGAAATAAGCCAAACTCAGAAGGTCAGGGGTCATAAGTTTTTTCTCATATGTGGAAGCTAGAGAGAAAAAAGGAAAAGAAAAGTGGGCAGGGGGTGTCTCATGAAAATCAAAGGGAGATAAATTGAGTAGAGGAAAAAGACCAGGGAGAGAAAGGAGAGGCGTGAAATGGGCAATACTAGGAAATAATATTGGCCAAATTATAATATTGTATGTAAACATGAATATATAACAATGAATTCCATACTTATGCACAACTGAAGTGCACCAGTAATAAAAACATGGAAAAAAATATATTAGTTTATATTTAATAACTTAAATTTGTTTGGAAAACCTGAAGATAATTTTTAGCAAAATAACACTAAATTTCTGTTACTCATAAAACACCATAAAATCTATCTGGCTTAAGCTAGGGGACCTCTTTACTCTAAAAGGGGTCCTATCACCTAACAATTAAAAAAATGAGTTAGTCCACTTGCTTAATTGCTCACCTCCTCATCAGATTCAAACTGCACGTTTACACCATAGGTCTCATCAATGTTGTCATCTGAAATGATGAAGAGCAGTGAGCAGTTAATGAAAAGAGGCACAGAACTGGGGTCTAAGGACACATAAGGATTTAGGTGATCCACATGAGAGCGCCGTCTGTGCTGCCAGCACTGAGACAGTTTCCCACCCACCAATTCTGGATTCCACCTCTCTCTTATCCCACAGGCTCTGCCCAAGTTCTCTTCCACATTCTACACAATAAAAGAGCCTCAGAGATGGGCACAGTGTTGCATTCCTTAATCCCAGTTATTTGGAAGGCTGAGGCAAGAGGACTGAAATTTCAAGGCCAGCCTGGACAACTTAGCAAGACTTTGTCTCAAAATAAAAATAAAAAGTGCCAGGGGTGTAGCTCAGTGGTAGAGCACCCCTGGGTTCAAGCTCTGGTATAGGAAAAAGAAAAAAAAAAAAAAAGCGGAGAAAGGCTATCTTGGTAAGAAATGGCTGCTGGAATTGAGGGAATCTGGTGTCTGTTAGTCATTAATTTTTTAAAAAACACAAAGTAGGAATGTGGAGATTCGAGGAAAAAAATTCTTCTCTATCTTCCTTAAAGCCAACTTTGAATAAAATCTGCCAAATGCCTCAAACAAACAACAAGAAAAAAGAATCCACCAACTCTGGTTGATGGGAAATCACTGACACTCAGATTCATTATCAAATGATGCTAGAAGATTCACATTTCAGAGTCAACAACAATCAGAACACAAACAGTTTAGTTACCCATATTTTGGATTTCCTTATCTCCACCATAGTCTGTGATCTTTTTCCCCAAGTTTACTAGCACATGGTATCTGGTATCATCTGTCTGACCCAGCAACAGGTCAATCTCCTTTCGTCTCTCCTTGTCCCGAAGCTTTTCATTCTTTAAGACAGCTAGAACTTCATCAGCTGCCCCACAAAGGATATCACGTGGCTGGTGGCAAAAAAACAATCAGCTTTTAGGTGGGCTGGGGATATAACTCAGTTGGTAGAGTACCTGCCTCATATGCACAAGGCCTTGGGTTCAATCCCCAGCACTGAGAGGGAGGATAAAAAAGAATGGATAGGTAGTCTCCAGAAGCAGGACACAGCTTTCACAGTAATCTGCCTCACATTCCTAGATGACAGAGGCACTTAGCAGTCTTCTTCCATCTTGACACACTTTTGATAGTTCTATGTCCATACTTTCTCTAGCATCTCACAGAGTCTCTCAAAGACTCAAAAAAGCTCACAATGTAATCATGCATGGGAAAGAGTTAAGAATAGATCCTGGAGAAAATCACCTGAATTCATGTCCTGACTCTGCCAAATGCTACCGCTGCGACTTAGAAAAATTACATAACTATTCTGTGCCTCACATTTCTCTTCTGCAAAATAGGAAATAAGTATTAATAGCTGATTTGTTGTTCCATATAAACTAAGTGCTTAGTATTAGTCTAATCTGAAAACTTGTATGAACCAGACAGAAATCTAAAGATAAGGTTCTTCTGATGTCTTCCAAATGTAACATTCTCCCTTTCCAAACACATGGCCTCAGCCTCTCGCTGCCTTACCTGGTCCCCAAGAGCAGCCTGGATGAAGCTGAGCAGCACCTCATAGGTCTCTCGGGTCTCCTTAGTTTTGGGCTTATAGATAATTCCCACCATCTCATCTATGCCCTCTGACAGCAAAGTATAACCCTTCATCTTGTTGATGTCATGCCGGTCCTCATCACGTTTTCTTCGCCTGATGAAGACATGATATGAAATGGAAGAGAAGAACTTTCCCACCCCCAGGCAAGACTAGATCAAGCCCATCCTCCTTTCCTTCTCAGTCTCATGGCATATAGACATCTGATATTTGAGAACAGGAACCTGTACTCCATCAAATGAGTCGAACTTGTTCTTATTCATTTATGGGAGCATTTATTTACAGGACACAGTGACAAAGAAAATCCTGGGGCTGGGGTTGTGGCTCAGCAGTACAGCACTTGCCTAGCACATGCCAGGCCCTGGGTTTGATCCTCAGTACCACATTAAAATAAAGCTACTGTGTAAATAAATGAATGAATTAATTAATTAATAAATAGGAAATCCTGCCATCCTCTCACTAGATGGACAAATTGATATAAGACAGGCTCCCCCATTAAGGCTCCCCATTAATTTAAGATTACACAATGGAATTTAACTAGTTTTTTCACTTTTCAGATACATTACCTTTCTCTAGACAAACAAACTAGTTTCAACAGAATCTACTTCTAACCTACTCCCAAAAAATTATAACAAAACTAAAACTGTCTTTTTTACTATGGATGCTTGAGTTAGTTTACAACCAAAAAATAAACAAGAGTAGAAAAAAAGGAAAAAGCAGTAATGGGGAGACAGTAGTGAGGGGAAAAAAAAATTACTGAGACAAGGAAATATCAAGGATCTTGAAAACCTAAAAGAAAATTAAGATCTGTGGATCAGAAACACTTATGTTCAAAAAACTTATTTTCCACTTTACTTGCACTTAAGACCAAAGAATCTTTAAAACTCTCATGTTCTAACAAACTTTCTGTAAATTTCCACAGTATTTTTAATGACACTGATGTCTGACCTTCCACCACACATTGCAGCAAAAATGCTGCTCAACTGCTACAAGGGAAGGTGGACTTTGAAACTGAAAAACCAGCGTCCCCTTGGTACATACTTGGCTCTTCTTTCCTCCTGCATCTGCGGTTTGGTCCGCTGAGCCTTATCTCCCATCCGGGTGCCCTCCAGCTTCCCAACCAGGGACAGCACCTCTCCTGTGGGTTCATCCCGGCGGGTCCGGTCAATGAGAGAGCGGTCAGCTTGGAGCACAAGATTCGAGTTCTGAAAAGATTATACATTACCAAAACTTCGACATGAGACCACCACAATCATATCAGCTGATGAAAGAACCACAGCAACTAAGGCTAATAATGATTAACTGGATCTAAAAACGTTTTCTCGGAAAAGCAATGGTGCCATACAACGTTGTGCATGAGCCTAGAGCTGAGTCCTGTATCAGCGGTGGACAATCCCTGCTCCTCACAGGGCCCGCTGTTAGAGGAGCATCACATGGAAGGGGGCGGAATTACAATGAGAACTGCAAAAAGCCTCCTTAGAGAGCTCTCGGCCTATCCCACCAGCCCCCGTGGGGGCTGACTTAAGCGTGGTCGTGTGATCCCACCTTCCCCAGATCGACTTCCCCCTCGCCTTCGCGGCTGTCCTGGAGGCCTTCGACTGAAACCCCCTTCCACGGCCTCCCGCTCCCCCACCACACTCGGCCGCCCAGAGTCCTCCCCCGAGATCCCACTCACCGCCTTGTACTCGTACTGCAGGCTACGGGCGGTCACATCCGCCATGGCCGCAGCAGCTCGGAGACCTCAGAGCACCGCACTCTGCGAACAGCCCCTCGGAACCGCTCCCGGGAGAAGCAACGAACGCAGGAGAAACGCAATGGACAGAGAAAAGAGACGGACTCCCTTCCGCTTCCGGGTCGTGTGCAGGAAGGGAAGGCTTCCGGCTACCGCGCGCCGCTTTCCAGCGGCCTTCTAGCGGAGTGGGCGGGGCTTGCTCACTCCGGTTCCCGGTCCCGGGACACACGTTCCCCTAGATTCTGGTTCCGGCCACCTCCTGGTGCTGGGTACCCAGGACCCGAACCCACAGGTTCTAACCGAAGAGCCTTTCTCTACCGCTGCTTTCCTGACGCCGCACTATGCTGTGAGGGGGAGGCAGCCAAGAAGGGCTAATGAGAGACGTTTCTGGAAGAGAGCAGTTGAGCTCGTGTGTGTGTGTGTGCGCGCGCATGCGTTTGGGTTTTCTCCTGTCTCGGGCAGTCGGTGGAAAGCTCGCGGTCCCACCCGCCCCGGCCGAAGCCCACGTCCGCACGACCCTGGTTCTCCGCCAGCCGCCTGCACAGGCGCGGGGCGCCCTAGGAGCCATGGGGAAGGCGGCTGCTCTCCTGGCGGGGCCAGATCCCCAGTCGTGGTGACTTTATGTTCCTCCGCAGCTCCCAACGCAGCCTCCCTATTCCACCCGGTTCCGCGTCAGTCCCCCGCTTCCCTCCAGGGCCTGGCAATGCACGGCGGAATGAAGGACTGAATGATGGCCTCCTGCAGCGCGTTTTCTTTAGTGGGGGGGGGGGACTTGACTATGAGTTTTGAGCCAAGAAACCCGTCCACGGCGGCAGTCTCCTGGGTCAAATTTGACCTGTGCTGTTGTTTTGTTTGGCTCGCTGTTGCTCCTTATTTAAAATTTCGGATAATTCACACAAAATCTGCATTTCCCTCATCCTTGCTCAGAGCTATTCCGCAGCAGCCAAAGTTAGAAGATGGACATGCTCCTCCCACTGCACCTGTCCTCCCAAACCTGGCCACCCGCTGCTTGCAGGTCCCTGTAGGCCTGGAGTTGCTACCCTTGACCATGTTACCATGTTTTTTACTTTTTTTTTTTTTTTTTAATGGTGCTGGGGATTGAGCCCAGAGCCTTATGCATGCAAGGCAAGCGCTCTACCAACTGAGCTATATCCCCAGCCCTTTTTTTGTTTTGTTTTTAAATCTAAACCTTCCAAGAGACAGTCAGGTAAGCCTTGTAGCTTGAGACAATAAAAATTTCCACATAGGACTGTTGTGATTAAAGACAGTAGAATGTTTGAAAGCACTTAAGGAAGTGTGTGGACTAGAGGTGGGGGCGCCCTGAAGGTTATTTGAATCCAAAGCCTTAAGGCTGACTTATAATCTTTGTCCATGCTGACACATGGACACAAAAGGGTTGGAAAACTGGGCCCAGTGGCAACTCCCAGTGATTCAGAAGGCTGAGGGAGGAGGATCACAAGTCCAAGGCCAGCCTCAATAAGCTAGCAAAACCCTGTCTCAAAAATAAATAATAAAAGGGCTGGGGATGTAATAATGGTGGAGTTCCCCTGGATTCAGTCCTCAGTTCAAAAACTAAATGTTAAGTGAAAGAAACAAGTCACAAAAGACCTCATATGATTCCATATATATATAAAATGCTTGAAGTAGGAAAGACAGAAGAGAGATTAATGGTTGCCAAGATGGAAGGTGAAGAAGAGAGAGAAACTGATAATGGGAAAAATTTTCTTATGAAAAATGTTCTTTGGTTTTTTTATGATGCTAGGAGACTAAACCCAAAAATGTTACATGTGAGCTAGGTACGGTGGCACATGTCTGTAATCCCAGCAGCTCAGGAAGCTAAGACAGGAGGATTGTGAGTCCAAAGCCAGCCTCGGCAACAGTGAGGTACTAAGCAACTCAGTGAGACACTGTCTCTAAATAAAAAATAGGGCTTGGATGTGGCTCAGTGGTTGAATGCCCCCGAGTTCAATCCTGGTACCCCGACCCCCAAAAAGAAATTCCATATGATGTTAATCATTGGTGCACAGTTCTTTATATAGATGAAAAATATTAAAAATTTCTTTATTTTTGGTGGGAGGAGGTACTAGGGATTGAGCTCAAGGCCATTAGATCACTGAGACACATCCCCAGCCCTATTTGGTATTTTATTTAGAGACAGGGTCTCACTGTGTTGCTTAGCACTTCCCTTTTGCTGAGGCTGGCTTTGAACTCACAATCCTCCTGTCTCAACTTCCTGAGCTGCTGGGATTACAGGACTGCACTACTGCACCCAGCCTGAACATTACTTTTTTTATATCTACCTTTATTTTATTTATTTATATGTGGTGCTGAGTATCTACCTTTATTTTATTTATTTATATGTGGTGCTGAGGATCGAACCCATGGCCTTGCACATGCTAGGCGAACACTTTACTGCTGAGCCACAACCCCAGCCCGGAACATTACTTTTTTAAATGAAACAATCTTATGACCTATAAATCATATCTCAATAAAAGTTTTGTTGTTGTTCTTTTGTTTTGTTGAGGTACTAGGGATCAAACCCAGGAATACTCTACAAAGGAACTACATTCCCAGCCCTTTTATTTTTTATTTTGAGACAAGGTCTCACTAAGTTGCCACAGTTGTCCTTGAAAATCCTTGAAATCCTCCAGCCTCCACCTCCAGAGTTGGGTTCAAATTCCTAGCATCATAAAAAATCCAAAGAACATTTTCATCACTCCAATAAGAATTTTTTCCCTTGGGGGCTGGGATTGTTGCTCAGTGGTAGAGTGCTCACCTCACATGTGTGAGGCCCTGGGTTCGATTCTCAGCACCACATAAAAATAAATAAAGTGAAGCTGTTGTGTCCAACCAAAACTAAAAAATATTGAAAAAAAGAATTTTTTTCCTATTACCAGTCTCTCTCGCCCTTACCTCCCACCTAGGCAGCCATTAAACTCTTTTCTGCTTTTCCTACTTGGACATTTTATATACATACATGGAGTCATATGCTATGTGGTCTTTTGTGACTTGCTTCTTTCACTTAGTGTTTAGTTTTTGTACTGAGGGTTGAATCCAGAGGTCATAGGTGAGCACCAAATCTGGTTTAAACAACTTTTAAAAGGATTATTCTCTTAAAAGGATGTGAGGGACTGGGGCACCCTGGTAGAACAAGACCCCTGGAGTGACTTTAGTTATCAGAGTGGATTCAGAGCAAGGACTTTGAGCTTCACTCAGATCCATGTGTGCGCCATTGTGCTGCGTCTTCCTACAGATCTTCAGAATTCCCTGCTCCTCTACCTGGGCCTGAACAGGTGGCTCAGACATCTGCTTGGGCCCTGCATAGAAATAGTCCCTTCAGACTAGTCACTTTATTTAATTACCTCTTGAACATATGTGCACTATATTCTCAAGACCTTGGGATGTCACAGCCTTGCAGGAGAAGCAAAACACAGATAACTGCAATAAGAAGCAGGATGCAACAGAGTATAGCTTAGAGGCAGAACTTTTGCTTAGCATAGGAATTTTTTCCCATTACCAGTCTCTCTCTCGTCCTTACCTCCCACCTAGGCAAACATCAATCTCTTTTCTGCTTTTCCTACTTGGACATCTTCCATGTACACATGGAATCAATCATATGATATGTGGTCTTTTGTGATTCTTAGATCCCCAGCATGCCCACACACACACACACACACACACACACACACACACACACACACACACAAAAGCAGGATGTATCAGTGCCACAAGGAAAAGATCAGAGAAATCACTTCTGCCTTAGGAGTCAGGGTGAGTAGTGGTTGTGACATAAAGTCTGGCTGTATTTCAGTAGAAGCTAGAGGTAGGAGGTTTCAAAGGGACACAGAAAAAAAGTCAAAAGCATGAAGGTGGGAAGCCCGAGGCATGTTTCAGGAACTGGGAAGAGCTGGGTTCAGCTAACTGCAGGGCAAGTGTAAGGAATGGAACAAAGCCAAGAGAGAGTCTGTGATCTCTTTATTGAAGAAAGAATGCCATTATAAATAAAGAGTTTTTACTTTATTCAGGAGACAATTGGAAGCCATAATTTTCTCTTTTGGAAGAATTTTTTTAACAGTGTCTCAGCATGCATTTGGTTGTAGGGACTAAAATTTAGATTAAACAAAATCTTACAGAGTATTTTTTTTCTTTTTTTGTTAGTTCATGTCTCTTATTTATTTGGTACTGGGGATTGAAACAAGGGGTGCTTTACCAATGAGCTACACCCCTGGCTCTTTTATTTTTTATTTAGAAACAGGGTCTCTCTGAGTTGCTTATATCTTGTTAAGTTACTAAGTTTGGCTTTGAACTTGTGATCTTTCTGCCTCAGCCTTCCAGGCTGCTATGTTTAAGGCATGCTGTCTTCTGGTTTGTTGCATCAGTAAGTCAGACAACACTTGCCACAATAATGTCTGTCACAGTGGCTGGACATGAAAACTCATTCATCTGAAGGACACTCCTGGCGAAGACAACGAATGTTGCCATTTTCATTATTTCAGGATAGCCAATTTAACTTTCTTTCTCCTAGGCTATTCTTCTTGGGAGCAGTCTAAGACTTGTTCCTTTTCTTACCACCACCACAAAGCCTCGGCTCAAGATGAAGGGTGGGTTGTTTCTCCATGTCATAGTCAGACAAAGTCCATCCATCTTCCCGTTGCTTACCAACAGAGATCAGTCTCTGCTGATCAGAAGGAATTCCTTCCTTATTTGGGGATCTTGACCTTGACATTTTCTATAGCATCCAAGGGTTCAGCCTTGAGCATGACAGTCTTCCCGGCAAGATTTTTTTGTTTTTAGAAAATCTATCTCAGCAGCAGTTCCACCGCAGATGGCGGATCAGAAAGGAAAAGCTTAGAGTATTTTGCATGTAACAAATATTTGCAGAGTTCCACTTTAGAGTGTTTTATGTGTTATGATACTGACTGCATTCTGTTTTAAAAAAAAAAATTGAGAATGTGCCTCAAACTTGAGATCCTCCTGCCTCAACCTCCCAAGAAGCTGGAATTACAGGTATGGGCCACCATGCTTAGCTTGCATTATGCTTTATAATTGCAAATACTTTTATGTTTCATTTGTCCTGTAAGACTATAACTTCTCAAGGATCCTAATTGATTTTTTTGTTCTCTGG